GGATAGGACGAAAGATTCAGCCGAGGTGGATGTGGAAATAGAAATGAAAGACAGCTATTCTCTTGTGAAGATGATTTTACCGTGGTTATTCCTGTGGAATCTGTTATGCTAGAGAGAGAGTCTGACGCTGAACCTGAAGAGCCTGAAACGCCGGAAGAGGACGAGAGTTCTGAGGAATTCGATTCATCAGGTAGGGAATACTAGTCTCTTAAACATAAAGCCAATTGTGCTGGGTGAGCCGTAGAGTTATCTATGTATGAGACACAGGCACAAAACTTAATCATCAACGATTGAGCAACAATAGATAAAAGCTCTCATTATCAAGGCAAAAATCACTGTTCTACCGAAAGACATTTTGTTTTTTTGTTTTTCCCACGTCAAATACATATACCACTACTTCGCTTCCCTGGGAGTTCATTTGTTCTTCTACTGAAGATGCTTATGGCTAATTACCTGTCATGTTACTCTTTTACAGCACTTCAAGATAGTGAAAAACAGCAAGAGACTGCACTTCAACAAACGCAAGTTTCCGAAGAGGACCACCAGGAAGACTTTTCTATTACAGCTGTTAGATTCCACGACGGAGAGAAAGAGGAAGAGCGACAAGAAGAGAACTTTTCTTCAGGTTTAAGTGACACTGAACAGAGATTAAGAGAGGAACTTACAAGAACAGAACTTAGAGTAGTTTTGTTGAGCAATGAGCTCTCAAGAAAGCATCAGGAAGCGGAAAACTTTCAGAGACAAATTCAGAAGATGAAGCAACAGTTGACGATGAGAGGAGATCGAAAAGAGAATTTTCGAACACAACTGGATAAGGAGCAAAGATTGCGAGCGGAATTAAACGAAAAAGAAACGACAGAAATTCTGCTACGAAAACAGCTCAGAGGAAAGAATTGTCAAGAAGCAAGTCTCCGGCGGCAACTGGGGATGCAAAAGCGACAACTGGAGGAGAAAGCTAAGAGTGATGAAACTTTACGAGAACAATTTAAAGAAATGGAACGAAGGTTGAGGGAAGAAATAACTGAGAAAGATGCGAGACAAGTAGTTTTGTGTGAACAGATCACAGAAAAGGACCAGCAGTTAACGGAGATGATACAACAATTGACAGTGACAGAGGAGCGAGAAGAAGATCTTAAGACGCAGGTAAGGAATGTAGAAGAACAGCTGAGAGAGAATGAGGATCGAGTTGAGAATTTACGAACGAACCTGAAAGATGTTGAGCAACGATTAACGCAGAAAGAGGCACAAGAAGAAAATTTACAATCAGACCTAGAGCAGATAGAACAAAGGATGAGAGAAGAATTAACACAAAAGGAAACAAGAGAAACTGAGTTGCGCGACCAGCTTAGAGAAAGGGAGGAGCAGGCTGTTGACTATCAGAGACATTTGAGCGGGATGGTACAGCAATTGTCAGAAAAAAACCATCAAAAGGAAACTTTGCTGAGACAAATTAGGGAGATGGAACAGCGATCGAGAGAGGTTACAGCGGAGAATGAGATGAGAGAAAATGAGTTTCGTGAACAACTCAGAGAGAGAGAGCAAGAACTGAGGGAGATGGCACATCAGTTGACTGAGAAGGAGCAAAAACAGGAGAACTTACGCAAGCAAATAAGGGTACATTTAATGGAACAACGGCTGAGAGAAGAAATGATAGAAGAAGCTACTAGGCTTGGTGAGCAGCTTAGAGTAAGGGATCAACAAATAGAAAACTTTCAGATGCAGTTGCAAGAGTTGCGTGAACAACTCAGAGAAAAGGATCAGCATTTAGCAAACGTTCGAACGCAGCTGGAGGAGCGATTTAGAGAAATGGTAGCAGAAAATGCAAATCTAAGACAACAGGTTGTTAACCTCGAGAATCAAGCCGGATCACAGTCCAATGATTGGGTAATTTCCCGGGATGATATTCAGTTGACTGATAAAAGCCTTGGAGTTGGAGGGTGGGGCGAGGTTTTCGAGGGCAGGTACTGTGGTTGTTCTGTTGCCGTGAAGCGAATCCATGAGGCAATTAACTCGCCTTACAACCAGAGTTTGTTCCAGAGGGAAATTGATATTGCTTCGCGATGCCGACACCCTTGCTTACTGCAGTTTATTGGAGCGACTAATGATGAGGAAATTCCATTGTTTGTTACTGAGCTGATGGAATCGAATTTGCGCGAGCTACTGAGACAACGACGTCTTTCCCGTAAGGAAATCACTGTAATTTCGCTCGATGTGGCTCGAGCGTTGAACTACCTCCACCAAAAGAAACCTTTTCCTATTTTTCACCGCGATGTTAGTAGCGGCAATGTGTTGCTATGGCGACAGGGTGATCAATGGCGAGGCAAAGTGTCAGATTATGGTTCTGCTAAGTTTGAGGAACAGTTTATGTCAATTGGCCCAGGATGTTTCGCCTACAGTGCACCTGAAGTGCAGAGACCAACAAAGCAGACAGCAAAGGTGAGAAAATAAGCTAACAGAATTTCCTTGGAGATATTTTTTTAAAAACATAAACCCTTTACAATTAAGCATCACATGGTACTTGTGTAACTTGGTCTTGAGCCGTGTGCTCGCTCAACGCAAAATGGCATAGTGTGCTCAGTCTATACAAACGGCAGAGTGTGCTCGGTCTACGCAAACGGCAAAGAGCTTGCGAAAACAGCAATCTTATTTCATTGACTTTACTTGTCCTGCTTTTTAGATTGATGTCTACAGTTTCGGTGTTCTCCTCTGTGAAATGTGCATTCAGTCATTCCCGGATTATGAAAACCGTGAACGTCAAATCGCTCAGATGACAGACCAGGTATTGCAAGACCTCGTCCGCCGATGCCTGCGGTCAGATCCCACTGAAAGACCAGACATGACAGAGATTATCAGTACACTGGAAGAGTTCAATAAAACGTTGTAAATTTTTCGGGGCATGTTTTTTTCAACCATTATCGGGGTTCTTTTTTTTTGAGAATATTAAAGATGAAGAGTTAATCTGAGAAAAAAATTATTAGCTACGAGTCGCTTGCAATGCCTACGGAGGGTCACGAACTGCACAAAAAAAAAGGCTTTTTATGCACTAAGAGACAATTGTCAAGTTTATGGATGAACATAGAGGAAGACTTATGAAAAAACTTCGAAATTCAACAACATTTACTCGCACGTACGAGTTAAGTATTTTGTTAGAAAAGTATGTAAACAAATCTTACAGTGTTAGCATCAATGATGTTGTCCTCGACTCCTTGAATTATCCAAGAGTCGATTCATACTCAGTTAGGTGCAGTGTACGCGTTGGCTTTACAAATAAAAGCATAAATTTTCATCATAAGCGTAGAACATTTGATTGTCACCGAGTAATTTTGTTTCTCCATGTGCATAAATGTCGGTGACGACTATCCAGCTACAGAGCGGTTATATTGGGCTGTTACATGCAATCCCAGAATCTTATTCTGCAAAACACGACGAGTGAAAACAAAAAAATCTTAGGGGGAAAAACCTATTGAGGAATTTTTTTCCGTATGATTTTGTTAATTAAACCATTAATTTTTAATTAAAAACCCGATAGACCAACTGGAAATTAGTTGCGCACTGATGATCGGAGTATCCTTTTAGTTACAGGCAGAATTTTAAAAAGAAAATTCCTTGTATCTTAAAGCCTGAACTGTTTGTGGCTCATTCAGTGCAGAAACTTCTAAGTTCTTTATTGGACCCAAAGCAATACTCTACTGTACGTGTCTTTTTGTTGGATTTGATTTCAAAACAGTACCAATAAACGCGTTGAAAATGGTTCGTCCTAGTCCTGGGTTTGTTCCTTCCCACATAATATTGAGATAAAATTTGCTGACACTTGGTCATTGATTTGTATTTGAGCTATCGGCAATTTTTGGTGGTTTGAAAGCTGGTACCGCTACCGCGGAACCCTGTTTTTGTCTAGGTACTTCTGTTCAATCACATATGCTCATCATCAACTGATACAGGGTGGTGCAAGTGAATCATAAGTTAAGAGTCATTAGGATAATTAAGAGTCGGCATTCATTTATGTAATGTTTAAAAAACGAGCAGGAGTGTTTTATCGGGTTTAAAACCACGAGGCGTAGCCGAGTGGTTTTTGACCCGATAAAAAACGTGCTGCGAGTTTTTTGAACGGCTTCAAAAACATTCTTGGAAAAGCGTGTGTCAAGAGAGTTCATAACAATTATGCTTTTGTGAACGTTAGAAATTAGCATACGAAAAAAGGTCAAACGCAGAGGTTAGCGAAAACGAGTTGGAGTCACTTCTGCCAACTGATCTTGAATTCGAAGTTTCAGATGATGTATTGTCAATATGCCTTTACCAGATTACTGTACTAATGGAATAGAGAATTTTTCCAGATGTGTATTTCACAACTGTACTATTAATTTGGTGCAAAAGTAAATTTATTGTGTGAAATTTGTTGAAAAAACATTAAATATGTTCCCACCATTTGTTGTGTCAGTTTCTGTGTTGATAATTAATTAATATTCATAAGTCACGTGCAGTGTCTTTATATCTGATAAAACACCGCATACTAATAAGGATGAGGTTTATCGATATAAAGTCACTGCACGTGATGTATTATCTACCATTTGATAGGTTAATGGGTTTATGAATTATTAATGAGTTTTTGAAAACATTGTAATATATCTGTATGTGTTATGGTAATTAAAGAAAATATCCAGTAGATCTTAATTTGCCCACCAACAAATTTTTTTCTTTTTGTACCATCTGCTTGTTCATTACTCTTGGTCTTACTTGGATGCGTTTTCCCAAGGTTCTCATGTAAACGAGTTTTTCGCGGGGTGCAAAGAAAACTATATACTCAGATGAGTAAACTTTTATATATAAATTACTGAACTCTATTTTCAGGGAGGAGGAACAGAATTT